TTGGTTTTATTCTATTTTTACTGTATTTTTCTACTGTTTTTATTGTATTTTAATTAATATTTATTGTTGTTTTATTGTGAACCTCCCTGAGTCACTTCTTCATGAGATGGGTGGTATCTAAATTTGAAATATAAATAAATAAATAAAGTAAAACAAACAGTGTCCAGGCTTGTGGCAAGAAAACTAGGAGAGAAATACATGTGAACGGGATTCAAGTTGTGCCTGTATCATTTACTGTCTTGGAGAATTCTATAGGCAAATTAGTTACCATCAGAGGCAAATATCAGACTGCATCTAGGACTCCCCCAACATTTATGGTAGGGATCATCTAAGACTATATCTGACCCAGCCTTGCCTCTTTCCCACTGTTTTCTTTTGCATTTGCTTTGTATTGCCTTGCCAATTTGCCTGGCGAAGAGTTCTTGAAATTGCCATGTTTGCATACTGTGATGCGGACATGAGCTGGCTTAATAAACGTTTCCAAGTTAATTTTATTTTGCTTCTGCGTTTTTCTATCACTAAGAACTGAATGCTATTTTAAAAAAAGAAGAAGAATGAGTTTCGGTGCTTCATTCTATTCCACCTCCCACCCTCTCCTAGTGGAAGAAACCAGTTATTCCAGCTCTTGTTTACTTTTGAGCCCTTTGAAATGACTTCAGAATCATTGTTGCAGAAGTCAATTATTTATACAAATGATTGGCTTATATGATGGTATCAAATAATTTATCTGTGAAGTGCCTGAAACTAATCCTGTACTGGGGGGAAAAAAGCTTATGTTTGTTATTTTTGTCTGAAAAAAAGAATTTAAATACAATAATTGTTTTCATTTTTTTTAATACTATTTAAAGACTATTTAAAAGCCTTGCTTCAAAAGAAATGGTAAAAAGGCTATGAGGCATCCTAAACTCCAAATCACACTCTCTAAATGTTGCGATGAGATGTTGGGTTGCTCTTTAGTAGGTGCATGTCAGGTTAATTTTGCCGTTAAGCAGGGGAGATGTGGTGAGAAATATTTCCTGGTACCTCTCAAGAATAAGCTTTGCTGTGTGCATCTCAAAATAGCCAGATGATCCCTTGCCAATATCACTCAGGCTGATAATTGATAGATGCAGCTGTTTACTTGTGCTGTACTCTGGTATTTCAAAGATTCTCTGAGTAGAAGAAAAGAAGGATGTTGTGGTAGGTGAGAATGGTTCTTGGTTAGCCTACAGATGACCCAGTTTCATTCTCATTCACCTGAAGATGGAGCCAACATGGACAGAAAAGAGTTGAATCACCCGTTGGTGATCAGAAAGGTTCCTCACAGCCCAAGTACTGATACCTGATATTTCCAGGAATGGATAAAAAGGATTCTGCCTTAAAGACCTATACCAGGCAACGAAGACAATACTGAATTAGATAGAGAAATGATATTATGTCTCCATGGTACCATGGAGATTTGGCAATTATAAGAATCATCACTTCAGCTTTTAGTGTTACTCCGGAAATCTTCCGGGCCTGCTCCTAAGGTGAAATATTAAAATAGTTGAACACAGAATATTAGCTGTCCATCGCTATTGCTTGCACTGGCAACTTTGCTAAGAAAATGTTGATCACATCTGGCCACATTTAGGATTTGGTGACTGCATTCAGAACATCCTCCAAAGGATAGTTTGGGGAAATATGATTGTGACAAAACATTTTCTCCTCACCTTGCACACAAAGGATTGGGTCTTTACTTCCTTTATGAATCAGTCTGGAACACTCAGGCATCCAGACCCTGAAACTGTGGTTTGAATTAAGTCTGTACCACAGAGCTGGATGTAATTTGCATTTTTAGTTTGGACAGAATACTCAACCACAGTTCATTATTTTATTTATTTTATTTATGTATCACATTTTGATAGCCACCCATCTCACACAAAGCCACAGCTGTACAAGAGAGGAGAACAACTACACTTCCTCTCGTCAGTATAGTGTTTCTTTAAAAGTTAGAATTGGCAGTAAAATATCTGGCAGCCAATGTGCTTTTAAATAGCCCTTGAGATTGTTATAATTCAGTATTGTTTAGCACTAATTGATTTTCAGCATGTTTGAAGTGCCATTCAGACAGAGTAAACCCAACTATATGCCTTACTTTAATTTCAGTAACATTAATTCTTAATACAGTAGGCAGTATAGACTTCCCACAGCAAGAGAAAGTTTAATTTGCATTACAATTCTGTAGACATGTGTTTCCGTTCTATTTTTAGCATTTTCAAATCCTAAGAAATCAAAGTTGTGGCTAGAATGGCAAATAAATGTATTCATATGTCCTCTTCTTTTTCCCCTCTGCAGCTTGCCATGAAACACAAGTGTTGAAAACACCTGTGTAGAAATCTTTCCAAGAGGAACTGAAAAAATAGGATTGCCCATTTTTACTGGAAATGCAAGTCTACGTCTCTTTTTTCCAACAATTTGGTAATCAGTAATTTCAATTGTCATGTAGGAAATAAGTAGTATTCCTACTTTTTCTATTGCTAGGCCATTCAGTGTCTGTCTTTTTTAATATTTAAAATAAGAGGTGGTGTTAACATGTAAATTGGACCAAAGGATATACTGAACTGCACTGATCTGCAACAATGCATTGTTCCCAATGTTGTGTAGGAATACAGTATTTTAGCTGCAAGAAAGGTGATCAAGTCAAAGTAAAGTCCAGTAATTGTTCTAGAGTTGTTTCATAGAGCAAATTTTGAAGTAATAGGGTGTATAACTTATATCACTAGGCAACAAAAATAGGTTGCTGTGAAAAACAATTTGACTTCTCAGTTCTGCCATTTTTAGCAAACTTATTTTCCATGTGCCATCATTCCATGGTAATTTGAAATTGAATTGTCCACCATGTTGTCAACACTACTTTAAAAAATCTTCTTTTTCCTGTGGTTTGAGTTTAATATTACCAAAAACACATTTGGAATGTTAAGAAAAGTCTGATTAAATCTGTAAATACTTTGACATTTTATCTGAAATTTTGAGGACAAATTATCCAATAGCTCTTACCTTTGTAAGTGGAGCAAAATGTCCTTCTAAATGAACATTATATTGAAATAGTTTCAAGAAATAATACACACACAAGCACTATTGCAAGTTTTTGGAATTCTGCTATTGATAGGCATGCTTCAGTTTTATTGATTAAAGTAAGACTTGGCTAGAATTTTTCTTCATAGTGTAATCTGGACATGAGAAGACCAAAATTCAATCTTTGCAGTCACTACATTTGTAGTCACTGGATCATAATCATACATTATAATTAGCATTATTTATAATAAAATATTCCTTTCCACTTTTCATTTTATGAAGTAAAAATGTTTTCTTGCTTGCCAAAAATCCCTTACGACAGATTTTTAAATGAACCTGTGCATTCTGTTACATGCACAGAAGCCCTCTGGGTTATGCAGGAAGTTCCTGGTTTTCATCTAGCACTTTCCAATGCTAAATCCGGAAGAGCTCACATCAGAGTTACAGCTGGTCATGTCAGATTTGTCACCACAGAATAATTGGAGTGATGATGTAGAACCATTAACTCCTAACTTCCTTTGAAGAGATGAAGCTGAGTAGGGAGCCTCTTCTCCTGTTATCACTGAACTTATGTCAGTCCTAGAGAGACGGATGCACAAACAATGCTTAAAGAGCCCCATAATGAATCTGTAAAACTCTGGGTTGAAATCATGGCATGCATAGCCCACTTCATTCCCAGCAAACTTTTAAAAGCTTGAGATTTTCAGTGTTCTAAATTCAAACGTTTAGGTCCTACAGGATCTAATGTTTTTTCAAGGGTGACGAGTAGAACAGCTAATATAAGGCAGTGGGACGGATACTGTGAGTAGAGGTAGATCTTAGGGAGAGTCACTCTCATATTCTCTTATGTTTGTATAATTATGAACCAAGTGAAAGAAGCAATTTTGGTACAGGTAAACAACTAAATCAATATAGAGAGAAGGCATCCAATTAATTACATTAACTGCATATTGTATGCTGCCATAATATATCTTTGTGGGCAACTTTAGAGACTGGTAATAGCACAAGTTTGACAGCCATATGGATTTCAAACAATACAATTTGATATAGTGTGTTGTGGGCTACCTTTGATTATAGGTTTACTTAGAAGTTGTTTTTATTTCCTGTGTTAAATCATTTTTTTAATGTATTGCCATTATTTATTTTGCACATTTTTTTGCATTTCAGCTCAGTGATCAATCTGGCTTTTTGTCAATGCAGGGTTTCTTTTCACCTGCCAAAAAATAAAACCCTCAAGTCATTTCATCAACTTGATACATCAGAAACTAAAACCTAATTTCTGTCCCTACTATTGAGTATCTTTAAGTTATGTGATGTTTTCTTAGGATCATTAGAAACAAGTGTGCTTATACTGAAAATAAATGTGATTGTATTAAAAATGTTCCTCCTGGAAAATTGATGTAGTATTCAATTATAGTGTTAGATATTTGTGTATATAAAGTATACAGTAATTCAGATTAGTGTTTCATATTAAAATGTATTTGTAAAAAGTAACAAGATCAATAGTTATCACCTTTTTAAAGTTCTGCAAAGAATAAAAATCACACAATATTAGACCTAAGATAGTTATACCTGCAAGATCAGCCTCTTTCTGTGGCTAGCAACATGTTGTGCATTAATGTGAAAGTATTAACAGAATTTGCTCTCTAAATAAGTGAACTTAAAGCACGTTTTGTTTTAATATGCCAAAATTGTCAAATTTGTTTTCTCTGTTGTCCTGAAGCCACATACTTTTTATGCCACACTAAAATAAACAGTACTTTGCTCCATTGTTATATTTCACAGACATTATTTTTGTCATTTAAGGTTTTAGTCATTAATTAAAATATTAGAGTTTTACATCAATGTTAGACAATCTTCAGGCAGTATACAATTCCCATACCTATTTTTGCAGCCTCCTAGAGGGACCATACCATTGAAATTCACTTTCAGTAATTTGTCAAATTAAGTTTTAAAATAGTTGTATTAATGCTTTGGGAGGCTCTATGTACCATTTTGCATTTCTCCCTCCCTGGACCACCATCCTCCCCATTGGAAAAAGGGCTGAAAATTTCATCTCACAGACTCTGCTGTTGTCCCTGAACAACTGTCACATTTCCTGTGGCCCTCAGATGCCATGAACAGATGCAGCCCCTAGTGGAAAAAAAAATTCTGTCCCTATATTATTTGAGAGGGCAGGGTGGGTGTAACATTTATAGTTACGAGCGTTGATTCCATATGCCTTCATTTTTGGCTTAAATTATTTTGGAGAGATCCAGCTCTAATCAGTTATGTGAAAAAGCATATCTTGAATGAAGAAGATAGCCATCATTACCACTAGGTGTTTCCCATAATTTACCTTAAGATGGCCATTGCAACAGTTGACCTTATTGGCTCTAAGTAGCTTCAAACTCATCATAATGCACAAAACCACATGAAGTGTGTGGCTGATTCAGCTTTTACCTTGCCTTAGATCCAGCAGGGCCAAGATTTCTTTCTGTGATTAATGAAGAAATAGTGTGATCCTGTATTTAAGCTCTCTTTGTAACATGGACCCCTAAATGCTCTCTCAGGACCATGTGCAAAAGTGACCCTCTTCTGCTTTTCACAACCTGCACCCCATGCGTAGACTAAAATGTCACCATGCATTTATTTTACCTGTATATTATATGGAAGGTAAATTATAAGAGCAGGGTCTGCACACACATTAAATGCAAACTGGAACACTTCTGCATCTCAGCAAGCATATCCCATGTGGGAATTGCCTATATGTGTTTTTATGTCGTGCACACATGCATATATTTGCATCCCATGTATCTTTTCTAACTTTCATCTGTTCTATTCAGAGACTGCCTCTTGTGGGACCTTAGCTTTAATCCTTTCCTTTCCCTTTCCCTTTCCCTTCCCTGCCCTTCCCTTCCCTTCCCTTCCCTTCCCTTCCCTTCCCTTCCCTTCCCTTCCCTTCCCTTCCCTTCCCTTCCCTTCCCTTCCCTTCCCTTCCCTTCCCTTCCCTTCCCTTCCCTTCCCTTCCCTTCCCTTCCCTTCCCTTCCCTTCCCTTCCCTTCCCTTCCCTTCCCTTCCCTTCCCTTCCCTTCCCTTCCCTTCCCTTCCCTTTCTTCTTGCTGGCAGAAGTGCCTAATAAAATATTTACATATTAAAGGTCCATAAGGAATCAGCCATTCAAACTGAAAGTTTCATGGTTCACACTTACTGTATATATGCCTTAACTAAATGATTTACACAGTGCTGGCCATGAGTTTTAATAATTACTTCAGAAAGCTGACTGACTGTGAAGAATGTAACTCTATTCTGTGGCCTGACATGTGTACAGTTTCTTGTAGAACAACTTTGTTGTTCAACATTGTCATATTTTTCATTGCATTGTGTTGTTCAGAATTACTGTGTTTTTTCAACTTTCTTGTATCTGTGCTGTAAATATTCACATTACTAAAAGTATATTTAGCAATGTGCTACAGGCATATTATGAACTTGTTTCATTCATCTACTCTCTCAAAAGTTAAAAACACTGTAGCTATAATTGTTCCCAGGCTTACACTGCATTGCTGAATGTTGAGAATGCAAGTTACAGTCCTTCCCTTAGGCCAGGACTATCTGGACTCATGGACTGAGGTGCTGGCTGTATACAATTTATATTTTGGCAACATTAGAATTTATTATATGCAATATTTTGGTTTTCATTGTACTGTATGTAATTCGTATCAAATTGTACAGTTACAATTCAGTTTTCATAATAAATATTTTAGTAAGTATGTGAATGTTGAATTTTACTGATAAATGTGTAATGAAATCTTACTAGTTTAAATTGTGAAATGAATTATTGGGGGAACATGGTTATTATGAGTTGGCAAGTATATACATTGTATTGAAGGCACATAACCTAGAATCAAAACTTTGGTATGATAGGATCTACCAAAACAATAAAGACTTTCTGAGATGAAGCTTGCACTTGCCTTTGAATGACATGATAGGAGACACATTCTCAAGAGTAGTCTTGGCAAGATGAAAGCTAAGGTTAAATATAAAATTAAATATGAATTTAAAATGAAAAAGTTAAATATAAAGTTACATAAAATAAACATGTAATTTCTCTCATGATATATTTCATGCTTCAATTCCATTAAAACATTTCAGTGCAATAAAAACTTTTGTTAATGCTCTGGTATTCACAAGAAAAGTTTTCAGCGCTAGTTTGTGAACATGGGGGTCTGCCGAGGGGTCAAGATGGTTATAACTGCAATCAGCGCCCCAATTCTTTTTAATGTGCAGCACATACATTGCGCACATGTAAAAAAGGAATGGAGCTTCCATAATGTCACACCCACCATCCTGACATTTTTTTGATACAGCCTGCAGATGCCACGGGACATAAAACTTCTAATTCTGCAACCTTGGATTAAACTATGGCAGACTTGAGACACATTATTTTTCTAAGCATTCTGGATTCTTCTGGACCAGCAAGAAGCATTTCCAGTCTTCTGAAAACCTTTTGTATCCATAGCTCTAAAGACTGCTCTGTAACTGTATTTATTTATTTTTGTTAACTGTTATTTATATGGATGTTTTTAAATCATTGTTTGCTGCCCAGAATCACTTTGTGAGATGGGTAGCTACATAAATAGAATGTAATAAATAATAGTAGTCTTCCATAACATAATTTCCAGTTCTCACAGTCTTTTCATCTAAGGATTTGTGGCATTTTCCATTGTTCTTTCTTAAAATGATAGGATCTACAGGGCTAGCTTCTTGGACAGTGGAGAGAGGGCCAGAATCACATATCTGAGGTTTTGTAATGGCGGCTTTTGCATTCTGATTGTAAAGTATAATATTCTAGCAATACAATCAACCCCCCCCCCCCCAAAAAAGTATGAATTAAGTAAAGACGGACAAGGAAGTAGTTTGACAGAGCAACCAGAATATCTCATCATTTTGGGGCCATCGTTAGAAAGGACCTGTGGAATTATTTGCTGGTTCAATTCACTGGTGATGGCCCAGAAAACAAAGTCTATGACCATTCAAGACCTTGAATGGTTCACATTTATAGACCTGAACCTAACCTATTTTTTGTTTGTTTTTTAAAATGTTAAATATTAAACCTTTACACAGAGTGTGAAGTGGCATACATCAGCAGTCTCCCTTCAGCCATTGACTTAACCCAGGCTTGATTAACTTCAGCAAAGTTAATTACAACTTAGTCAATAACCTGGAACATTTATTATTGAGATGCCGTTACATCCATGCTAGCAAATAGTACTAGGTTCACAGGAATAACATCCCAAATCTGCAGCGACATCCCACATCTGTCCATGTGATTATGTGCCATCATTGGTGTTGATTTTTAGCAACCACAAAGATTTTCTTCAGGATGATCTGTCCCCAACCTGGTCCCCAACCATCACTCCTCTAATTGAGTCCATCCATCTTACTGCTGGTCATCTTTTTCTTATTCCTTTCAACTTTATAATGCTGGGAATACTAGGTCTTCACCTCGTGTGTCCAAAATATGATAATTTTAGCTTGGCTATTTGTCCTGAGTAAGAACTCTGAATTAATTTGTTCTGGGTCCATTTGTTTGGTTTTTTGGCTATACATGGTATTTTGAAGAGTCTTTTCCAACACCAAAGTTCAAAAAGGTCAATATTCTTTCTATTTGCTTCTTCAAAGTCCGGCTTTCACTTCCATCCAGTGTCACAGAGAAAACCATTGCCTGCATAATTCTGATCTTTGTAGATATAGACACATCCCACTATCTGAATTTCCAGACCTCAAAGCTACTCTACCAAGTGCTAGTTCCTTTACTACTGATGATCCTAAAAGGCAGAAGCTATCCCCCACTTCAGTATTTTCATTGTTAGAACTAACTTGACTGCTTGTTGTACTGTTGAAGATCATTATCTTGGTCTTTTAATCTTAGTCCCATTTTATCACTGTGCTCCTTGACTTCCACTATAGGGATTACAGATGATTTGCATTTTCAGATACCAAATGAATGTCATCAGCATAGTTCAGGTTGTTGATGTTTCTTCCCCAATTTTAGAATCATGCTTTAGCTTTTTTCAATATATATTCAGCATACAGATTGAATAAATAAGTAGAAAATATACAGCTTTGTCTCACTCCTCTGCCAGTCTATCCAACCTCTTGCTTCCTGTACTGTGCATAAATTTTGTCTGAAGACAGATATTCTGGGATTCCCAATTTCCTAGCCGCATTCCACAGCTTGACACAGTTGACACAGTCAAAGGCTTTTCTATAATTAATAAGCATATAATAACTTCTTTTTGGTATTCTTTGGCTTTGTCAATTATCAAACATACATCAGCAGTAGAGTATCTTGTTCCTTAGCCTTTGCTAAATCCAGCTTGAACATCTGGCATCTCCCTTTCTATGTAGGGCTCTAATCTGTATTGGATGACCCTAAGCATTATTTGGCTAGCATTTGAAATTAAGCGTACTGTACTATAGTTTTGTTGGAAGGTTGAATGGAGAGGACTGAAGCCAACGCACATATGCAGTTAATGCAGTTAACAAATGGATACAGTGCTGTTTATAGCTATACAAACTCAATATAAAGTGTATTTACAAGACTTTTAATGAATAAGTATCTATCTATTATGACCAAGCATAAATATATACTGTACACTAATAAATCTAACTATACAGTATACTACCAAATCTTAATTAAATGACTTACATAACATTTAGCTGCTAGTTTCTGCCTCCTCCCACACATGCTTATCTTCAGAACAGATTTAACAATGCTAACAACTTCTTCACACAGCCTTGCCCAGTTATGCAGCACCTCAACCAGTTCAAGTTTGCTCTCCATTGTCACTGTTTTCCTTTCTCCTGATTCTTTTTCAGATTCCTTATATGGCTTCAGCTGCTCCGGGCTCCTTTCCAGTTCTTCTCTCTGGCCATAGGTCATCTGGCTGCACACTCTCCCAACCATTGCTTCCTCTGTCCTCATCCAATCACCTCTCACTCCACCAGCATCTCCTGCCAAACCTAGAAGAAAATCTCCCTCTTTCTGTCTACCTGCTCTGTTTTCTTTTGTACTTCTTTCTTTTGCCAGTTATAAACTGGCCTATGTGCCAGTTTATAAGCAATTCTAAGGAGCTTAAACTTCTTTTTGTTTCCTCTGCAGCTGCCTATGTGCCCAAAGCCTGATGGACCACAGAGAAAAGTCTTTTGAAAGACTTTCCTTGTTTTTCTGTGTGTTTCTATCTTTGATATTTTATAGTCGTCGTAATACTGTATCTCATCTCTTCTATCAGCTCATTGAAATTCCTTCCTGAGGTCTGTGTCTTGGTTTGTGCTTCTATTTTTGGCAATTTCTTCTGACATCCAGTTTGCTTTCTTCTGTTTCTTGTTTTCAGCAGACTCTTTCCACACTCATCCCTAACAACTTATTTGATTTCATTCCATAGTTGCTCCGGTTCCCTATCAATGAGTTTCAGGATGTCAAAGCAATTCTTGATATTCTTGAAAACGATGAGTATATGCTCAAGATAATATTGTGGAAACTGGTTGGATTTCTTCTGCTGCTTTAGTTTGATTTGGAATTTGCACATGAGCAGTTTGTGATCTATTTCAAAGTCAGGCCCTGGCCATGTTTTTGCTATTATAATGGAGCTCTTCTACTTCCTTGTCCCAATAATATAGTCAATTTGATTTCTATGTACTCCATCTGGTGATGTCCATGTATTTAAGCATCATTTTGGTTGTTGGAAGACTGTGTTAGCAATTAAGTCATTGGATTGGCAGAAGTTGATAAGTTGTTCTGCTTCATTTCAGTTTCCAAAGCCATGGAATCCAATTACATTTTCCTCCTTAATATTTCTGTTGTTGGCACTCCCATCTCCAACCGTAAGCAGCACATCTTGCTTGTAAGTTCTATCAGTTTCATCCTGCCCTCTCTG